ACGTAACAAATAACTAATGATTGGTAAAGATTTTAGTATAATTTTAAATGATATACTGCTAAAATTAAAAATAAGTTACATTTTATTTTTTTATTAAATAATACAGTCTGCGTAAATGCCTTGTATTCTGCATGCATTCATATATATAAATAAAATTTCGAATACGATTATAAAATAAATTGTGCAGTCGGACAGACTGTCCTTTTTTAATTATAAAAATCTGGTTAGTTATTTTGATGTACGTATATTTGCTACCTACCCTATTATTTTTTATTGGTAAGCAATAAATATTCATTGCAAATTTTGAACAGGGATGATGTTCTCAGTTTAGTTATATTTTTAACTTTTTTATTTTATTGTTTTCGATAAAAGATACTTAATTTTTCAATTCAGTTTGTGTCACATTTTTCTAGTTCTGTATCTTTGAGAAAAACGTATAAGCTAGCCATGCAGCGCAAAAAAAAAAAATAAAGAAAAGAGCGCACATTTTCAGAGTTGGGGTTGCTAAATATACAATACTAAAATGAAAAAAAAATAGATGTATTGTACTTGCACATAGAGAATAAGAACAAAACGAAAGAAAATAAAATTAAGATGAAAGTAACCGCGACTTTTTGTAATTTTTACCACTTTTCCGAGCTGATGTTGTTGATGAGGACGAATAATAAAAATCAATACTGGTGAGCACATTTTGTGACTTTTCACCAGACAGCATCATACCTCATACTTACTCCCCCTATTTAACAAAAAAAAATTGAAGTTAAAACTCACAAAAATTAAGTACATATACATTAAAATATATATATATGTATATATATAAATATAAAATATGTATAGATATGCAAAGTATCTACATACATATTTTTATATAAAAGTTCGAACAGGTAAAATGCAAAAAGAGCAAACGACGCCCAAATATTTCGTGTTCCTACCATTGTAAATTATGTATTTGTATCTATAGTGTACATAGCTCCTATTCGCCAAAATACACACAAATGTACGTAGTCGTGTATCTACGCGACTTAATTTATGCTGGTAGATAAAACTATGGTAGATATTAAATCTAATACCAAAATGCTAATTGCGTCTACTACATACATTTTTAATTATCCACTTATATAATGAAGATATTTTGTACAGTTTCAATGCATAGAATTTCATATTTTATTATGTATTTTATAGATATGCTTGGTCCTGTGAATTTTTTTTTTTTGTGATTGCTGCGTTGATTGATTTTACTTGTCGCTCAAAACGGCTGGTTCGCAGAATATTTTTTTGAGAAGCATTCTATGTAGAGAAGATGGAAAGATATCAACGCGTAGTATACAATAACATAAATAAATTAATTTTTCTGGTATTATGAAAATATCTTATCGTTCATAGGCTAATGCTAAAGGTGAATTCTACATACGTTTTCCTAATATATATCCAAACTACTTTGTAGGATATAATTTTTATTTTTGTTTTTACTAAACATGATAAATATATAACCTAATATATATATATAACCTTTGCCGAAAGTGATGCATCTTATGACGAAACGAAACTATTTAAAAGGTAGAAGGATTCGTATAGAAATGAAAAGACAACAACAAAAATTTTATTTGATTCATTGAAATTTGGCAATTTTTATTTATACATATATGAAATGCGTATAGTAGGTAAGTCTGTTCCTCTGGATTTAGACTTAGAAGTAAACATCTTTTTGAACATCTATTATAATAGATAATAATCATGTGTTTCATTGTAATACAGTATTCTAATTCTACCTGAGATAAAGTTCTTTAGAATTTATTTTAATTTATTTTATTTTATTTTTTGTATGTTTGTTTCATTGCTGGTAGTTATTCAATGGCGTTGGAAGAACTACTTCTCAGTTATTGAGGGATTTATTGCTAAAGTTATATTTTTTCTTTGATATCTTGTGTATCAACACATAATAAAAATGGACAATTAACAGTTATACGGTTTTTTTTGTGTCTTGGACTGACCAATAGATTATCTTATAAAGTTATACAGTGTAAAATAAAACATACTCTGTTTTTCAAGTCAATGGTACGAATGCCAGAACTAATTTCTGAGTACAAATCCTTGAAATCCTTAATGTTTTATATATTTTAAAATTAAGTATATTAAAAAACAATCATTTGTTATAGTGTGAATATTTTTTGCAAAAAAAAAATTGATTAACTTTCTCGCACCTTGTTCCTGTAACTGGTGTTTGAAATGAGCTACTACTTTTTTGATAAAATTAAATTTTGCTTATACAATTAAAATACAGTTTTTAAAAACTAAATAAAATTAGGTTTAAAAACGAAGTATTAGTTTTTATATTAATATATTGTAATAATCGTGCATTTCTAAATTTAAACCGATCTGTTGATCTGGTCTGTTTTTTATATATACTATTATATAAAAACAAACTTTAAGTTTTCATTTTATACACAATTTTCGCTGACACCTGCAGATTTTGTGAAATTCAGTGTAAAGCGCCCCCTATATTATAAGCTTATCTCCTCTAACTATAAATTCTAGAGTTTAATGATATCTAGAAAATAAGACGAATTAATATGCTGTTTTGTAAAACTAATAAAGAAAAGAAAAAAATTTATATTAATAAAATATTTTAAAAGTTAACATAACATTTATTTATAACAATCGTTAAGTGTTAAAATCAAATTTTTGTAAGACATATATATATAAGTCAAATATAAAAACTACATATTATTTGTGGGGCAATGCTGTATGCTGTATGTATCTTTATATATCATAAGCGTATAGCTTTTCCCCTTTAATATTATGTACCCTCAACAATTTGGAATCTCAAATTCTAAACTTCATATATAACTATTCAAAAAGAAAGTTGATTCTTGTACAAAATGTAAACATGATTGCGGAAAACGAAATATATGTAATTTTTAGCAGTAATATGAGGTGTAGTAAAAAGAAATCCATTATTTTTCCAATAAAAATAGTTGCTTGTATCCCGCGTTGTATAAGTCCGATCGGGTTACACTAGATGGCGTTAGAAAAGTTTTGTGAGATGAGATTCCATACTAAAAAAAACTTTTGACATTTTGGTAGTAATTGGTTTACTCAGTTTTATTTGAGCGCACGTCAAAGATGGACACTAGCAAAGAGAAAATACGCCATATTTTACAGTTTTTCTTAGATAAAAACGAAAACGCTGGCCAGTCTGGTGAAAATGTGATCATGCGTAATTTTTGTTTTGTCGTTTCCGCTCCGGTCATTGTCGAAAATGTCTATAAAATCATTAAAATTGTCGAGTCCAACCTGCTGTTGTCATGTAAGCAGTGTTTCGATTGCCCAAGAGCTAAAAACTGCACAAAAAACCGTTTGGAATTATTATTATTTGATTAGGGCTGAATAAAAAAAGAAGCTCGATGTATGTAAACCTCATGGATCCAATTTCCATCTGTAAATCACTGCTGAATCCTTAAATAAAACGACACAATTCTGAAGCGTGAAATGCGAAAACAATTGTATTCGAATTGTGATAAGTCGGCTGAGACGATGTTCAAGCCAGGCTAAGACTTGGCTTGGAAAGGTTTTGCTGCGTGTTTGCTGGGATTGGCAGGAAATCATATATCACGATCTGCTCCCCTACGGTTTTGAACTGTGCTGTCAACAATTAGACTGTCTAAAGGACACAATCGCCTAGAAACGGGCAGCTTTGAGTAATAGGAGAGAAATTGTGTTCCATCAGGACAACCAGGACTCCAGGAGCTTGGTTGTGAAGCTCTTATGCATCCACTTATTGTCCAGACGTGGCACCAAGCGATTATCATCTGTTCATGGCGAAGAATGGACTATTTTTCTGGTGAAAAATTCAAGCCTCAAGAGAGAGGCTTTGGAAATTCACTGTTTTTCATCTAAATTTTTTACCAATAGGGGTGAGGACTTCTATGACAGAGGCATAATATAATTATCTTAAAAATGGCAACAAGTTATCGAACAATACGATAACGGTATATAAGTCTTTAATTTTATTTAAAAATAATGGATTTCTTTTTATTACACCTACACCTATTACTTAAATTCTTATAACAGCGATAGCGTAGAGTGCTACGGTAACAGAACGATTTTATATATCCTGTTAACTTTAATTTTATTTAATAATATTTCTGACTACTAATTATTTTAGAAAGTAAATATTTGATATTTTAACTGAAGTTTATAACTAATATATTATATACATCTTAATCAAATAAATATATTATTTAATGAATGACTACTTATTATTTTAGAAAGTAAATATTTAATATTTTAACTGTCGTTAATATCTAATGTATTATATGTACCATAATCTCATATATATAGTATTTAATGATTTTTCTTTTTTTTTTTTTTGCAGGTTGCCAGTTCTGTTTATATTACATACTCTTTCAATTCGATCACAAACTAATTTAGTAATAAATATATAAAGCAATTTTTTAAATTTTTTAATTATAGCAGTAGATACGTTAAAAATCGAAATTCCTACATGTCTCTTAAAAAAAACTATAATAATCTCGTATAAAAAAATGATTTTCCAAACAATCTAAAGACGGCTAAACTTAAGACTCCGGTTAGAATAAGAGATAATCATCGTAAGAAGTCGGAAAAAAAAAAATAGAACACAAAAGAACATTTAGAGTATATATAAATTATAAATAATCGAATTATTTTTTTATACCAGCTTCGATTGTATTATATAGATTTTTATTTATAATTAATAATCAAAAGAAAACAATACTAATAAAATACTTTTGTATCATTAAGTTTAAAAAACATAACAACCAATAGAGCCGCTAAAAACGTTTAAAATATACTAAAGAAGAAGCAGAAATATTCAGAACTTTTTAACTCATCCAAATTCAATGAGCCAAATTCAAATAATAATTCTTAATTATTAAAAATATAAAAAGATATAAAATTATATAAAAAAGATTAACGTGTTTTATGTATCGTCGTGCGTTCGATTTTGTTTTTTTTCCTAGTTTAATGTGTTTGTTACTTAAAACTTTCTTATGGAGTATCGCCTATAACAAACCGTTTTAATGTACATGTCAACTGGATAAACGCTTAACCTAAACTCAACCGACAGTGTTGGATTAAATATTATTTTTAAAATTTTTGTGCGTCAAAAAAAAAAACAAAAAACAAACATTCTGCAAACACATATAATCTTATTATCCATATCAGTTTAAGCGTCAGAACAGCGTAAAGAAGGAATTTCTATTACACTGCGCTGTAAAACTGATGGATGGAAATGCACAAAATATGTTTCACGGAAATCATCAAGGGTAAATTTTCAAAACTAAATTATTTCTTGATTTTGAAATATATATAAATTAATTTTTATTATTTTTAGAGACTCCTACTATCGCTATGATGCCGCTGCTGCCGCTGCAGCTGCTGCAGCAGCGTCGCCTAGGGCAATGGGTCCTCCGGGTGGCTACCCGCCCCGACATAGAGCACCACATCCGCTACAACAACAACCACAATACCCATCGTACCAGTCAACGGCGGAGAACATATATGGGCTTGGCACCCCTGATCAACACGGTGGAATGGGTATGGGTGACTTAAGTGGTTGGGGTGCTGCTTCAACAGTATCAGCACAAGCGGGTGCTTATGCAGGTTCAGGTCTTGGAGCATATGGTCATCCACAAGCTGCTCCACCATCACAACAGCGACAATCTGCGGCGCAGACAAGGTAATTTGTTTTTTTGTTTCTTGCTGTATTTTTATACTTAAAACCATTATTTACCATTTATTTACTAATTTACTAATTTAGCTATCGTCAACATATGCCCACTTATGGCCAACAAGATCAACAAAAACTTCCATACACATCGCAGCAAGGTATGATGAGTGGTTTATTACAACAGCCTGGACCAAATGTTGGAGCTGGTGGTTATGGCGCTTTATCTCAACAACAACAGCAGCAGCAGCAAGCACCTACACCACAACAGCAACAAAGTCAACAGGGACGTTTGCCACAACATTATCAACAAGCTAGCAGTCAGCATCCTTTGTATCCAGGTGCTGCATCACAATCCGGGCAACCCGGAGGTCCTGGTGCTGTACCTAGTGGCCCACAAGCTTATGCTCATAGTCCTTATGGAAGTCCGATGCAGCATCAACCTGGACGTGGAGCACAGCATGTTAGTTATGGTCATGCTGGCTTAGATCAATCAAATGCTTACGGACAACATGTACCAAGTTCAGGTGCACCTGGAAGCGTTTCTTCGCATCATCTAACAGCGCAGCAGCAGCAGGCTGCACAGTTAGGTGGACATCCTGCAACGCATATGGGTGCAAATCCTCAGCAACAACAAGCATCTGCTGGACTGCAACATGGGGGACAACATGTAGCACATCCAGTTTCAAGTCAATCGTCACTGCCTCCAGGTTTGAGTCCGCAACAACAGCAACAAAATGCTCATCTTTTACAAAACCAACAGCAGCAACAAAATCATGTGAGTCTTATGCAATCGACGAGTCATCAACAACTGCCAGGCACTGGTTTGCCACCACACTCAATGGGTGTACCACCGAGTTACGGTAGTCATCATCAACAGCAGCAACAACAACAGGCTCAACAACAACCCGGTGTTGTTCAATCTGCACCGCCGTATATGTCATCAAATAAACATCAAACCGGTCCGCAATTGACTTCATCGCCTCAATATCGTGCACCATTTCCTCAATTATCTCCACAAATGTCTCCTCGTCCCCCAACTATGTCTCCTCACCCACAAATGTCTCCACGACCTGGTATGTCTCCAGCGAAACCCACACAACAAGCTCAGGCGCAATCACAGCAGCAGGTGAATTCGCCTAATCAGCAAGCCCCGCATCACAGCATAACAGGTATTGTAGGACTTACATCTCCACGACCTCAACCACCGAATGCTGGTCCACCAAATTCGAAAGTTGCAGGTGGAGCAGGTGTTCCACCCGTAAACACTTTACAGGCTTTAGAACAGATGGTAATGCCTTCACAAGGCGTTATGTCTGGACCTAGTGTCGTACCAATGGATTACCCGTCACCATATCGGCAGGGTTCACATGGACCAATGGGGCCACGTATGCCAGTTTCACCACAGCATCACCAACAATGGGGGCCTCATATTAATATGCAGCAAGCTCAGCAAAACAGTAACGCGATGGGAGTTGGTGGTATGACTGGGCCATCGCAAATGCAACAACATCAACAACAAATTAATTTATATGCGCAGTCACAGAGCATGGCTCATCAACAGCAATCTTCACAGCCACCAACTGTGCATCCTTCGCCTATTCAACCACCACAGCAACAAGCACCCCAATCGCATCAACAACCACCACAACAGCAACATCAACTAAGTGAACAATTGCAGCATTCCATTAATGATATTGTAAGCGGTGGTCAGCAACAACAGCAACAATCGGCGACAGTGCAGCATAAGCAGCAGCAGCAGCAACAAACTCAATTAGCTTCTATGTCTCCTATACATCAGCAACAAACTCATCAACAATCACAACAACCTACTATGCCGGCTATGCATCATATGAGTCATCATCAAATGACTGCTAGTGATAATGCAACGTCTGCTACATTAATGTCAAGAAATACCCCAAGTCATGACTCACCAATTCCTACATCGCAACCAACTCAACCGCAACCACAGCATCTTACTCAAAGTCAACAACAGCAATCGCCACTTCAATCACAACAGCTTCAACAGCAATCTCCAAGACATCAGCAACCGTCGCCACACCACACACACCAACAACAACAACAACAGCAACAACAATCTTACAACCAGCAACAGCAACAACAACATCAAATGCTTGTAGATCCGTTTTCTTCAATGTTGCCAACGCAAGATTCATCTTCAATGCAACAACAGCAGCCACAACAGACTTCTACACAAGTAACAATGTCGCCAGCTCATGTTTCCTCACCATTGACACTATCTACGTCTCAACAGCAACAACCACAAACTCCTTCAACTCCATCACATCATCTAAGTAGTATTTTGAATGAAACAGCTAATTCTAATGATTCCTCAACACTAGCAGTTGCAGCCAATGACAGCAATAACAGTAATAACAGTAGTAGTAATAGTTCAACAAATAGTATTGTAAATAATCAACCAACATCCGTTCATGATAGTAACTCGCAGAGCTCGATAAATAGTAATCACCAGCAGCAGCTGTCAGGTATGGACAGCCTTGGCCATGCAGTACTTAATAGTAACTCGAATTCCGCTACAAACACTGGTGGAATACTCGACAGCGCTGGCGCTAGTCTTTTTGATAATAATTCAATGTCATCTACAAGTGCAGCAGTAGCTGCAGCATCCACAGCCGCATCTGCAGCAGCAGCATTGTTAGACAGTAATTCACAGTCATCGTTCATTGGCGTTAATAGTGGCAACGATTTTGAATGTACTTCTAAAGTAGTGATGCCAGAAAATATAGGGGAAGAGTCACAAACTCATCAAATTCTACTTAGTGCTGCTGACCAAGAAGATACAAATGGTTTCAAGTCTAATGAAGGAAGTGGTCTCATTGGAGATACAAAATCAGTTATAGATGAAAGCACCACTCCTTCTCGTGATGATCACACGTCTCTATCTGAGACTACAATTATATCTGATGTAGCAACAGATCATAATAAAAGCATTGACGAAAGAACGATGTTAGAAACTGATGTCAAGGTTGCAGAAACACTGACAACCGGAATTCCGCAACAATCACAACTCACACCATTATCAACAGAGTCAGTATCACAAATTCAACATGGGCAAACTACACAGATTCAAACATCAGTTAATACGCAACAACAAATGCCAATTATTCCATCTAATGCTTCTCATCATGGTGTTACTGCAACAGGTATGACTGCTATGGGATACGATAACACTCAACAGCAATTGACACCCGGTGTACCACCTATGCTTCCTCCGTATTCAAGTGGTCCAGGTCATATCTATCCTCCTTATCCTATGCTTCATCAACAAGAAACTGCAGCTTTACAGCAGCAATTACAAGAACTGTATTGTATGCCCCCTGGTATTGACCATCAAGACAAAATTTTGCGCCTTCAAGAAAGATTGAATATGTTGCAACAACACGAAATAAATGATCAGTGTGCAGGTGGACCTCAATGTATGCTTTATCAAACTATGCCAGCTGCACTATATGGGAATAGCGCGTTACACAATCAAATGGTAGAAAGCCCTCAAGTCTCAAGCACGACAGGACGTGGCCGAGGTAAAGGCACAAATAAACCACGAAAACCTCGAGCTAAGAAAGGTGATAAAGGACAGCCTACAAGTGATTTAATGGATATCAGTGGTAATGTTGTACCTACTTCAATTCCAACTACTCAATTACCTGTTTCCGAGGATTGCGTGACACAAGGTGCTGGTGATACATCGGTGGTAGGTATGTTGGAGTATCATGAAGGAAATGGAGATTTATCACAAGATGTTCATTCAGCTAATGAGTTAGATACATCCACCGATGGTACCGGTAAGAAAAAGAAACCTCGCAAACCTCGAGCTCCAAAAGATCCAAATAAGCCGCCACGTGATAGAACACCTAAAGCAAAGAAAATTAAAGAGCCCGCTGATCCCAACTCGACTGAAACAACACCTGTGCCGACTAAAAAGCGAAGTGCTCCAAAAAAGAAAAAGACGATCGTTGAAGAAGAGATTGATAAAGGAGATGGTAGTGAAGGAGAAGACAATAAACCGCTTATTTGTAAAACAGATGTAAAAGCAACAATAGATAAAAGTGATGATCGTGAAAATAAACCAGAAACTACAACTACCGATGATCTAAGTACTGAACCTAAATCAGGAGTAGATATTGAAGCTCCAGATTATGACGATATACCAGTTTCAAAAATTCCTACTTCGCGATCTGTTGGAGATGATGACAAAAATGTTGAAGCAGGTGATGAAACAGTTGATTCAGTTCCCGACTCTGCAGGTGATGTGGCTGTTACACCCAGTAGAAAGAATAAAAAACGTTCAGGAGGACGAAGTCGTGCAAGCACTGGTGGTGAAGAAGAATCTGGTGGTAAACGTCGAAGAGCACAATTGTCCGCAAAAGCGTTAAAAAAACGACGTAACCGTGGACGCATAGTACCCGAATCAGATGGTGAAGATGATACTTTAGCTAGTACACCACCACCATCTCCTCCACCAGACTCTGAAATGGATTCTAATAAACGAAGATCATCGCGAAATACTCAACGTAAAAAGTATATTGATGATGTTATGCTCCGATTTTCTGACGATGAAGGTTCACTTATTGGTACATCACCTGTTAAAAAAGAGAAAAAATCATCGGCATCTACATCATTTACAGCTACGGCTGCTGCTTCTAGTGCTGGTAGTGACGTTGAAAAAGCCGATGGAAGTTCAGCTAATTCTGGAGGTGAAGGTGAAATGGTCGCAACTTGCGATGAGAAAACAATTGCAGAAGGTGAAGATGGTGCTGCAACAGAGGCTAGTTCAAGTACAACTAACGACAAAGAAAAATCGGTTTCTGAGCAATCAGTACCAATATCATCAAAACCTAATTATGTTTATATAAACACCGGAGATGAGGACAGTATGGTTGTTCAATATGTTTTGGCAGTACGCATGGGTAAAAGAGAACTTATACCTGATCCTCCGCCAACTCCTAAAGACGAACTAAAAGCTGAAAGTGAGTCTGAACAAATAAAAGAACAAGAAAAATCCGAAAATTCTGAAAAAACCGAAGTTACTGAAACTGAAAGTAAAGAAAATGAGGAAGAAGCAGATAAAGTGAAATCTGAGACTGCAGATACGGATAATAAAATAGAAAATGAGAATGAAAAAATGGAATGTGAGGAATCTGAGAAAGATGCGCCTGAAAAATTGGTGCAGGATGAAACGGAAGAGTCTGAAGTAAAAGAAAATGAAGAAAAAATGGATGTAGATGAATTGAAGGTTGAATCTACTGAAACTGACCAAAAAGATGATAAAGAACAAAATGAAGAAAATTCTACTAACGAGACTGTTGTAGACACAAAAGATGTGAAAAAGATCGATGTCGATGAAAATATTCCTAATAATGAATCAGATGACAATGATAACGATAATAAAACTAAGACATCAAATGATGATACAAATGCAGAAGAATCAAGTAAAGAAGCTGAAAAAGACAAAGATGACGTTAATGAAAATGATATTAAAACAGAAAAAGATAAAGAAATAGAATCGACTAACAAAACAGAAAAAGAAGAGGCTAATTCAAGTAATTCTAAACCAGAACCTATATTCATTGATGTTGAGGAGTACTTCGTTAAATATCGTAATTTTTCTTACCTGCATTGTGAGTGGCGAACAGAGGAAGAATTGTTTAAAGGAGATCGACGTGTAGCCGCCAAAATTAGACGTTTCCAACAAAAGCAAGCTCAGCAGATGAATATATTTGATAATATAGAAGAAGAGCCTTTTAATCCAGATTTTGTTGAAGTTGATCGTGTGCTTGATATGTCAGTGCACACTGATGAAACAACTGGTGAGACCACCAAACATTATTTAGTAAAGTGGAAATCATTACCGTACGAAGACTGCACTTGGGAATTAGAAGAAGATGTTGATGATGACAAAATTGAACAGTACATGCGCTTTAACAAAATACCACCGCGTGGTGAGTGGAAAAATAAAAAGCGACCACATCCAGATCAATGGAAAAAGCTTGAAAAGACACTTATATATAAGGCTGGCAATTCTTTACGTCCATACCAATTGGAGGGCTTGAACTGGCTTAAGTTCTCCTGGTTTAACTCGCATAATTGTATACTAGCAGATGAAATGGGTTTAGGTAAAACTATACAAAGTTTGACATTTGTGCATTCTGTTTACGAGTACGGTATACGAGGTCCCTTTCTGGTAATAGCGCCACTCTCTACAATACCAAACTGGCAACGTGAATTCGAAAGCTGGACAGATATGAATGTTGTTGTATATCATGGCTCTGTTACTAGTAAACAAATGATACAAGATTATGAATTCTACTTTAAAACAGAGACTGGTAAAGTTCTTAAAGAGCCAGTTAAATTTAATGTGCTTATCACAACTTTTGAAATGATTGTAACAGATCATATGGATCTAAAACCTTTTAGTTGGCGTTTGTGCGTAATCGATGAAGCTCATCGTTTAAAAAATCGTAACTGTAAATTATTAGAAGGATTAAGACAACTTAATTTAGAACATCGTGTATTGTTATCTGGTACACCATTGCAAAATAATATAAGTGAACTTTTTTCTTTGTTGAATTTCCTGGAACCAAGTCAGTTTTCGTCAGCTGAAGAGTTTATGTCTGAATTTGGTAGTCTACGAACAGAAGAAGAAGTAAATAAACTACAAGTTTTACTTAAACCAATGATGTTGCGCCGTCTCAAAGACGATGTAGAGAAATCTTTGGCGCCAAAGGAAGAAACCATTATCGAAGTTGAACTTACAAATATACAAAAGAAATATTATCGCGGTATATTGGAACAAAACTTTTCATTCTTAAAGAAAGGAACAACTTCTGCAAATATACCAAATTTAATGAATACTATGATGGAATTACGTAAATGTTGTATTCATCCCTATTTACTTAATGGTGCAGAAGAACAGATACAATACGATTATCGTAATCAACATGGTGAAGATCCAGAGTCCTATTATAAAAATCTAATACAATCTGCTGGTAAAATGGTGCTTATCGATAAGTTACTGCCCAAATTAAAGGCCAATGGCCATCGTGTTTTAATTTTTAGTCAAATGGTACGTTGTCTAGATATACTCGAAGATTATCTTGTATATCGCAAATATCCTTTCGAACGTATTGACGGTCGTATACGTGGTAATTTACGTCAAGAAGCTATAGATCGATACTCCAAGCCCGGATCAGATCGTTTTGTTTTTCTACTATGCACTAAAGCTGGTGGTTTGGGTATTAATTTAACTGCTGCCGATACAGTAATTATTTACGATTCTGATTGGAATCCACAAAATGATTTGCAAGCACAAGCACGTTGTCATCGTATTGGGCAACGTAAAATGGTTAAAATATATAGATTGTTATGTCGAAATACATATGAACGTGAAATGTTTGATAAGGCATCATTAAAACTCGGTTTAGATAAGGCTGTTTTACAATCTATGAATACACAAGCCTCTAAGGATGGCAGTAATCGTCAGTTGTCTAAAAAAGAAATTGAAGATCTGTTAAAGAAAGGTGCCTATGGTGCCGTGATGGACGACGATAATGCAGGGGATAAATTTTGTGAAGAGGATATTGATTCGATCTTAAAACGGCGTACACAAATAATAACAATGGAATCTGAAAAAGGCTCCACATTTTCAAAAGCTTCATTTGCGGCATCAGGAAATCGTTCCGACATTACAATTGATGATCCAGATTTCTGGACAAAATGGGCAAAGAGAGCTGACATTGATCCAGATGCATGTGAAAGAGATGAAACTGAAGATCTAGTACTTTCAGAACCTAGAAGACGTACACAAATTAAACGTTATGGTCATGAAGATGTTATGGAAATAAATTCTGAGGATTCGTCAAATGAAAATAGCGATGAAGAGGGTGGTATAGGTATGTTGAATATAGCATGTTTTGGTTTTTTCACACAAAAATATTATATTAATTTTTTTTTTAAGGACTCCGTTCACGTAGACGAAAAGAGAAACGTGATCGTGGTCGGGAGAAGAAATCTAATGACGATTACGTACCACGTGAACGTGATGCATTAGCTGCATTAGGCTTGGAGGAAATACAATATGGTAATTGGGCAAAATCTGAATGCTTTAAAGTCGAAAAAGGTTTGCTCTCATTTGGGTAAGTTTAGTTTAAAATCAATTTTAGATAGAAGTTAAAATTGTTTTTATTTACAGTTGGGGACGTTGGCCTGAGATTCTTGAGCTGGGGCAATTTAAACGTGGTTGGCGTGATATTGATATTGAAGATTGTGCCCGTATAATAGTATGTATTTGTTTAGCAAATAAAATTGTTTTAAATGATTGAATTTCGTACTTAATAACAGAAAAAACTCACATTTAAAAATGCTGCAATGTGATGTGATGTGTTTAATTATGAATTGTAACCAATTATTTTTTTATGTTGTTAGAGTAAAATATAAAAGAAAATAATTTAATTAATTATATACATATATTTAATATATGTATCTAACATATGCATTTACATGATGACCAACCATGCTAATATTGAGGAAACTTTAGGTTTTCGCTGAGTAAAAACTAACTTCTCAAACACTGACTTATATAAATGCATATTTTAGATATATATGTTTTACAATAATTTAAATATTCAATAAATTTCATTAATAATAACCAAATTACTGATTTCCTTTTAGCTACTCTATTGTTTACAAGTTTATAAAGGCGATGAAAAGATTAAAAACTTCATTTGGGATTTAATTACGCCAACCGAAGATGGTGAAATACAGAAAATTAGCAGGGATCATAGTGGCCTACATAATTTGGTGCCACGAGGTAGGAATGCAAAAGGTATGGTAAAAAGATACAAACACGCACTTTAACTGCACGGACGTAGTTAACGCGCGCACGCAAACACACTACAAAGCTGGGATGGAATTTTATAAATTTATTTCATATATACAAATATACGCGTACATTTATTTGTATATCACATCTATATGATGAAACAGTTGCAAAAGATTTATTAAAAATTTAAAAAGAAATTTCCAAATAAAATTATATCCAGAATGCTGCAGTGTGTGTATTTAGCTATCAACTACTGCAACTATAATTAGTAATACTCCTACTACTACTTTATACTTTGTACAACTACTACTACCTATATAACTACCGTATTCTACTGCTACTACAAAAGTGTGTGTGTTATGTTGCCATGCAAATATATATATTTACATATATGCAAATAGTGTGCGTGATAAACTGTTTTGCTGTACCATAAACTTAGAGTATTATTTAGTTCTTAAATGTATAATATTATTGGTATAATTAACTAATGTAAATAAATAAACATATATATATATATATATATGTATGTATATGATTTTTAAGTTTTTTTTATATACTTCATTTTTTAATTTGTTAATATGTTTATGTATTAATTGTTTTAGTTGTTTACATTTGCGTTAATTATATTTTGATTTTGAGTTATATATAACGTCAATTATGTTTTATTAGTTTTTAAAATCAGTAATAAAAAAATACTTTACATGTATAAATGAATAATAATGCAGAAACAAGTACGCGTTTGTATGCATACATACATGTAATGTATGTGTAAATTCATATAATTTTATCTAAATAAAATTAATTTATGCGCTTCGAACAATGCACTAAAGAAACGTGTCATTTTCCTTACCAATCTACTTCTTTAAAGTGGATAGAGTTAATTGCTAAAAATATTGAATATTTTCGCTATAATATGCACTAATGACTTGCAATATCTGCAAGGAGAGTGTTGAGCTTTATTGCTCCTTCGAAGCGCATTAATCTTAATCACTGAGTTTGTGATTAAGTCCGGCAATTAATCTGCCGAAATTATTTTATATTTTCGATATATTTCGAAAATATTTTTCCATTTTTAAATTATGAAGTTTGATTCGTTTTATTTCTTTGCCTTTATTTACATATTTATTTTAGCTCTTGTTGTAATTTTTAATTTGTTTTTGTTTTTCTATTTGTAATACTATATTATTTGTCTCTAAAACTACAAAAATAGTGCAGAATAGTTAAAGATTGTACGTAAAATTTTTGTAGCTTTAATAAATAGCAAATGAAATATTTATATTGTAGCTAAATTTATTGTAAATAAAATAAAATGTAGTCATTTTCAAAAAATGCATATTATCTCAATGTATAGAAAATAATCGTACTTTATAGTAAAATATTAAAATGTAAAATGATTTGATTTTTATTAAGTTTAATAATTAATGAACATCTACAAAGTTATATGTAAATATAGTTTAGTTGTGATATCGAGCTTTAAAGTTACAAATTAAATTCAGAAAATTGAGTTACAACTCCCAATAACAACTAAAAGTGCCTGGTTCTTTACCAGTTTCTATTATTGGCCAAATGTATATTTTGAAGGTGACCAAATACATCTTGCTTCTTCAAACACTTGTTACAATACACACCGTTAAATGACGCGGGCAGTAAAAATTGTAATATATATAAAATGATATGAAAAATATTGATATTGAAATTTATCAAATTTCGTTGTCAATTCATCTCGTCTGGGAATTTGAAACCTTCCCAACGTATTGGATAAATTGTTTATTGAAAACAAAATGATTTTAATTTAAAATAATTTTTCACAAGCAAATGTGTACTTAACTGGTTTCTTAAAAGACTCGCCCGTATTTACTTATTTTATTAAATATATGTCTTGTAAAAACTTTGCCTAAAATGCAAACATCAAAAATAGTTTAAATATATTTTAAATAAAATGAAATATTTATATTATAAATGAGCTAATATATTGCAATATAAATAATATATGTTTGTTAATATTTCACTTTTCAAAATAATTACTTTAAATACACAAATATTAAAATAATAATAGTGAACAGTTAAAAACCACTTCAGTTTTTTATGGTTTTTAATTTAAATAAAAAAAATGTTATTTTTATAAAATTTTTTTTATATAATATATTAGTTTCTATTGATTCTTTTACCTCTCAAAGTTTCTACATTAGTAAATTTAGATATAATGAAATATTGGAAATGGCTACAAATATTAAAAAATAGTAAAATTATTTGTAAATAAATAAAAAATATTCCAAAAATGTATTTATGTTGGTAATAATCTGCATTAAATATAAAGATATATGTAATACATGTTTTTAATAAGTTTTAATATTTTTAGGTCGCAATGGTGGTAAAGCGCAAAAAGAAAGCACTACTTCTTCGAATTCTTCAAAAGTCGATTGTGAAAAGGATTCTCCAAGCCAAAATATACTTGATCCAAGTCATTGGAGTAAACAAGAGAAATTCGATGCGGATGCATATTTGGAAGGCGCCTATAAAAAACATTTAAGCAGACACGCGAATAAGTGAGTCGTGTGGAATCGAAAACTTATTTAATTTCATTACATAGAAATTTATATACTAATATTAATTTTTTTTTCTTCTCTCTTTTCCATTTTTTCTTCTCTACAATTGTTGTATGATTTTAAATTATTTTTCGGTTTTCATCTTTATTTCGTTATTGGTTTATATATTTTTCTTTACATTATTTACGATTTCAGAGTTTTGTTACGAGTACGTATGCTTTACTATATACAACATGAAGTTATTGGCGATTTAGTGCAGCAAATAAAGGATAATACACCCGTCAGGTATACTTCGTCAATGTATATAATATATTAATTCGTTTTATAACATAAATGTTTTTAATTGTTTGATATCATTTTGTATATCTCTTCTGGTAATTATTTTGTTTATTAATTATATCAAACTTTCATTTTTTCATTTCTTACTAATTCTTCTAATATTTGTTAACTAACAGTTTTTGTGATATTTGAAAATTTCTATTACATACTTTGCTTAATACATTTTCCTATATTTCCTATATTGAAAATTTTTTACAAATGTTTGTAAATTTTGCTTTGATTTGAACACTCTTTTAATTGAATATATTCGATATTTTTTTCTTTAATTCTAAGATTTGCTTGCCAATTTTTTTAGGTGTGTTTGTTTGAATTTCATGTAATGAAATCTTTTAAAAGCAGTCAATTTAATGAATGGTGCATAATTATGGAATATATTAATATAAATTATTTTTATATTTTCCAAATTCTTTTTGCAATAAAAATATGTTGATAAATTCAATAGTTCTAAAAATTTTTTTCTTAAATGGTATTTATATTTATAATAGTAGTTGCCAAACATAACTACATAACTACTTATTCAATAGGCACTTCATATAGTAGTTTCGTAATTATGTACCACTCCCACATGCTATTAGTACATACATAACTCTTCATTATAAACACAGTCAAAAAAAAAAAATTGTTCGTTTAGAAATTGCAAAATTACTAGTTTGTATGTTAAATATTTTAATGAAATAAAATCATTTTCGATTTAAGAATGAATTGAATACATATATATATATAATAAATATGTATATATTATATATGTATTATATATATGTTTATGCATAAATATCATTTCGATGTATCTCACTCACCTACTGTAACTTCACATTTTCATATTTGTTGTAATTATTTGCAAAATTCTATCGCATTTATTGAATTTCATTATTTCAAACAAATTTTTATTAAAAACATAAAAATACAAAAATTTCAATTAAATTAAATTAAATAAAAAAAATTTCATGAAACTTACAAACTGAATCCGAAGCTCCTCAACGTATTCAACGTTTTGCGATTATAAATTCCAAACGAAGAAAAGGTAACAACTTGACCAAATATAAAAAATCCTCAAACGCTCGTTATTAAATGGCGAATAGGGATTTCAATGCTACTCGAGTTTTTAAATTTATAGTTAAAATAAAAAAAATTAATATTTATATAAATTTAAATTATTCAAAATTCAAAATTAAAAATTTTTTTGCAATAAATTTATGAAAAAGTAGTTTAAATCTTGGCATACTTTTTGGATTTGTAGCTCTTTTTTATTTTTTTTTAAGTTATTTTCTATTTTGTAGTAATTGGCTCTTTACTTTTTATTTTCTTTATTTTTGTAAACAATAAAAAAAAAAGTGAACTAAAGAAAATCCCAAAAAAAAATATATTTTTACAATTTTATTTTTTAAATTTTGAAAATAAAACAATAAAATTTATGTTGTCATGTAGCGAGCTCCCCATTCGCCCACCAGCAACACCAGATCAAGTGCCATCATCATGGTGGAACCCAATTTGTTGTGATAAGAGTCTTTTGGTTGGAACATATAAGCATGGATGTGAAATGTATCGCCAGATACGCGCTGACCCGACATTGTGCTTTGTCGGTCACGTTGGTGCCGGCGATGATTTAGCAGTAACGAATTTGCCGATGTAAGTGTAAATTAAAATATAAAAAAATAAAATATATGATAATATAAATTTATAATATAATTATAATTTATGTATAAGGATTCTTTTATATTTAGTCTTAATAGTTATTTTAAATAAAATAATAAAATGTCATTACTATTCGATCAACAGTTAAAAGCTTTTGAATATTGATATAAATAAACTTAAATATTAAATATTATTTAATTTATAAAAATCCACATCGTTCAACTATTATTCCAATATAATAATGTTTAGCACTCGATAGGAACCACTTAACTTATATTCTATGCATAGTTTATCTGAATAAAAGATATAGCCAGTTTCAATAATACATTTAATTTTTGTCTAATATCTAATCTAATATATGACATTTGTAATGAATGAGGCCATTTTTATAAGTATTTAGGTATTCTCTTTAGTATTTAAATCATATAATGAAAGCATTAGCCCAATATATTTTTAAATTAACCAAATAAGGAAATAAGAACCCAGTAACTTGCTATACTTATAAGACTAATGTCTTTACTTTTTATACTGAAATCAATATATATATAACTTCATTACTTAATAGAAGTAGATTATAGAATGAAGAGTTAAAACTCTATTATTTAGCATCGATCCTTAACACGCTCAGCACATATGTTTTTGTAATGTCATTGATCTCCATATGTCCATGCATATAAAAATATTCTTATGGAAGAAAGTAACAATTAACACAATTATTGTTACACTTTAAGAACGCAGTAAAGATTTAATGTAAAAATAAATTAATATGTTTTGTTTAAGCTCAAGTTGGTCAATTCTTGTACTGTAATATTTTCATTCAATATTGATATTGAATTACTGTTTTTTTAAATTATTTTCTTTAAAAACTATATTCGATAGTCATTATCAAAATTTAACAAAAAAAAAAAACAAATCCTTAACAAAAATACATGACCTAAGTTTATGGTATAAGAACGAGGCGTAGCTCATAGCTTAGCTTAAAATTAACTTTGAAAAAGTCTTAATAGTATTAATACTATAATTTTTATAAAGTTAAATATATAGCTTTATATATATATTTAAATATAAGTTCTCGACAGTTACTTTCTGTGTACGCTATGTAATATGTATTGTAATAACCAATCAATTTCATTCATTTAATTACTTGATTTGCCTCAAAAACTATTTTGACGGCAAATCTTGTAATATTGATAATTAATATATTAATATATGTATATATTTGGTTTATATGTGTACAGATAGATATATACTTCGCTCTATTATTGAATATACCACAGAGTTTCAATATTTCGTGGTTTAAAAGTAATATTTTTTACTATCTGACTGGTCGCTGTTTTTGAAGAAGTAGATTTTTAAAAAAACATTTTAGTAAATATATAAAAAGTTAGAAGTATCTATATATATTTAATTTTAAATATTTTAGGTCTATATAATTATATTTTATTCACATATGTATTGTATTTTATTCATGTATATATATTATAAAACTTTTATTATAGTTTTTTATATCATTTTTTTATGCTATAAAAATTTATAACTACAAATATTTATATAATCATATATCTGTAATATCTGTATCTGTATATATGTATAAAATGTTATTTTATTAATGAATATGTACTAAATATTTTTAATATATCTATCTTTTAATTTATATAATTTCTTACATGTATACGTAAGTGTATTATAGGTATATTTAGTATAACAGTTATCTGTATAACACTTAGCTTTTACGGTAAATATTATAATTATAAAAAAATGTTGTACAACATCTTTCTAACATATATCACAACAGTGCAGACAGAATAAAAACCAAAATAAATGCTATCAAAGTAACGTAATAAATATTTTAATAAATTTTGAAATAATCGATAAATATATAAAATATATATTTTATGTAATGAAATGTATAATAAATTTTTAAAATAGTCATTTTTAAGAATCAAATTTAAAAAAAAAACATTTCGCAAACTCGAAACTCATTTCAACATAGTTTCATTATTGATATCATCTTCAATCGTCTACGACTCGAAACAATGTTCTTGATCAAGCTTTTAAACTTACACATGTCATTATAACGTTGTTTTTTATATTATTTCTTTTTAAAAATAATTAAAAAAAACTAAGTTTTAAGATTTTATTAGATGTCTTCGAAACTGTCTAAATGTGAATTGAATTCAGTTATTCGAGCATGTTTTTCTTTGTAAACATTTTTAATAATTAAATACTTATTTAATATATAAATTGTTTCGTTATATCAAAAACATTTTTATATATTTATATATACATGTTTTTATATTAATTTTTTTTTTTTTATTATTTTTTATGTAGAAATGAAGATGATGCGAATTCGAAACACGAAGATGGTGATGAAGTCGATGATGATGGCACAGCTACCAAAGACTCTGATTCTACTAAGTTAACTGCTGGTGATAATAAAGATTCACTTGATCCGGATCGTCCTAGTTCGTCTGGTAAGACTAAAAAATTGGCGAAAAGCTCAGCCGCTGACGATGGTGGTTCTGTTGCCCCGATCACTGCTATCGATGGCACCATAACAGCCGGTGAAGAAAAGTCAATTAGTGCTGATGTTGATGCTAAAGTTGATGAACAACAAAACGATACTAATAATAAAGATGCTCCAATAATTATCAACGATGAAAATGAACCCAAAACAGCGGCAGCTATTACCGCCGATGACAGTAGTATAAAAGATGCTGCTGTTGTTGGTGCAGATGCTGCAGATAACGATTCGAATACAGCAAATGTAACAGCAACATCAACAGATACAACTTTATCGGCTGATGTGGCTGCTGCTATAGCGGATTCAAATTCAACTGATGCAACAGCAATAACACCAGCTATAACAACAGCACCAACCACACCGGCAGGTGCTGTCGATGGCATATCAAATTCGGGCTCAACCACCAACATAAGCACTACTTCTGCTACTACTTCCTCCACTACTACCCCCAATGAGCAAACGCAAAACGAAACTCTTAACTCCAACTCATGTTTAGGCTTGGACGAAGAAGAAAGTGGTACTGGCAGCTATCCACCAACTAATATGCCAATCGATGACGCCACATTATGGCCATCTATGCAAGATTTGAATACACGTTTACGGCGTGTGATAACAGCCTATCAACGTAATTATAAAAAAGAAGAATTAAAACAACAACAAAAGGCCAAGGTAAGTGATTTAATTTTTTTTAATATCTATAAAATAATATATGAAAATAAAAGAGTACTAAAAGAAGTGGAAAAAAAAGAACTAAATTATTTTAATGAATTTGCGCACATAACTTTTTGAACTTACTGCATACTTTTTAAAGGGATCCGAATCTATCTTCTAAACGTACTGAACAAACATAAACGTATGTAGTAGCTTAGTTATACATATATATTGATTTGTCTAAATTGGGAAGTACTCTTTTTGGATTTGGCTTTAAATGTTTAAATAATTTATTAGCATTAAGAAATTGTTAGTTTTTGAATAAATATTGAATATTTTAAAATTTTGTAAACAATGCAGAATATTTTTAAAAAGTAGCTTTTAGGAAAGTAACGTATTATTGAAGTATAAAAGTGCCTATATATTAAGAAAGTAGAAGTATAGTAAATTCAGTTTAAATATAAGTTATGTAGTTTAAATATAATAAAATAAAAATTAAGCATGAAAAAATATTGGCGAAATGTTATAAAATAAAATAAAATAAAAGAAAATAAAATAAAATAAAATAAGATTATAAAAAAAAATTTGTCAACAATTAAAATTCTTTCAATTGAAACGATTTGTTTTTATTAAAAAGTTCTTAACTAACGTAAAGCAAACGCAAGGAAAAACTCTATTAATAAAAATATACTGTAAAAATAATACTGTTATTATGTTTTCTAAGTTTTTGTGAAAAAAAATATGGCGCATAATTATATATAGTTGCCATATAATATTACATTTTAAGTTCTTTTATGATAAACCCGTAAATTTTAAGTTTTTTCAACTTAGTTGAAATCTTTATTTAAACGTTACTTATTCTTAATTAAGTAATCTATAAATTTATTTTTTTTTAATTAAAATAAATAATAATTGTCTAAATAAAAATTATATTGTATAAAAACTGAAAGTTCAAAGACATTAGAAACCAGGATTATTTCACGTTAAAGGTAAACTTCTTCTGGAATACTGATTCGCTCAAGTTTGGAAATTTGTTTGGAAATTCTGACGTTGATTTTATTCAATAATGTCACATAGTATGCTCCAATTATTGTGCATTTCAATATTCGAATATATGTTTCTATGTAAAATAAAAGTTAACTTAAGCAGGTTTGTTATTCGAATCACTTGGAATCTTTACGCAGCTCATATTTTGGATCATTCACAGTGTTTGATTTAAATGTTCGAATTCGACTACACTTGAACTGCTCGTAGATCTCATTAAGTTCAGGGATGTTATTTTATAAAGCAAAAAATCATATTTTAGTTTATTTTCAATATTAACTAAGTCAATTATTCCAGAAACAAAATTAATTGGGCAAAAATCCAATATCTTAGAAGTGGTACAATCAAATAGCTTACTCTATTCAATATTCTTTAATTTGTTTTGTACTTAAATTGGTTCCGAAATGATGATGATTCAAAATTAGTCAATTTTTTTTTAAATTCGCTTTCAGTTTTGCATAAAATCACATTTATCTGAATTTTTGCAAAATATTTTCTCAATTTTTCATATATCAATAACTTATGGTTTATTTTTTTTTTATTTGCTTCTCTTATTCTCACTGTGATTTCGTCATTTCAATCTAATGTGGGTCAGACTGTTTCTCATAAGTATATGGTTACGCTTTGTCAACGTTATATGACACAACGTCAAATATTAAGGTTCTAAGCCTATTGGTGTTTCTTGAAAGAACATGGTTAGACCTTGTCGACTTTATATGACGTGACGTCAAATATTAAGGTTCCAAGCGCGACCAATTCTACGTCTCGAAACGAGCAACACCTACTTGTGTTTCTAAAAAGTACATGGTTAGACCATGTTGACTCAACGTCAAATATTAAGGTACCAAGCGTGACCAGTTCTTCGTCCCAGTGTCACATATCTTCCAAGTGTTCCTACCAAAACTTGATGTATTTGGTTTCCTCTGTGTTTGCCAGCAACGTGCTTTGTGAGAATTTCGTCGTCAATTTTAACATACTAGTCTCACTATTATTATAAGTATATCAAGAGCTTTAATATTGTTCGTAAGCTTCACATTAAGGAAAAGAATTGTAGAAGATTTATTTCCCTTCACATTGCGTAGAGCACCATTTGGTACATACATGAGTAATAATGTGTTGTTTTAAAACTATTTTTGAGTTTTTCCGTAATTATTATTTAATTCTATAATAATATAGAATTCAACACCATTTATTAGTAAATTAATATTTAATTATTTAATAATATTGTTATTGATAGTTTTTGAAAAAAAACTATTATTATTATGCTTTTAAGTACATATTTATATATAGAAATATTATTTTGAATTCATATTAATAATATTAATGTTGTGATGTAAATTTTTGTTAATAAAAAAACAAAATCCAATATTGTTTAACGTAAAATATATAGAATTTTTTTTTATAAAATTCATATAATTTCAATTGAAAGAAATAAATTTTGTGAAAGATTATAACTTACCAAACTTCCATTGAAAAAAAAATATTTAAATAAAATAGGGACTATGTATAAGTAATATTCTAAAAATGAAAAGAAAAAAAAAAAATTAAAATAAGGCCAAAAATATTCTTTCGAATTGTTTTAAGTTTAAATCTTCGCTTGAAAAAGCAATTAAAAAAATTTTTTTTTTTAATGAAACTTAATTATTTTCGTTATCTCAATCCTTCAAATCGCTCCGTCCTTTTATTTCTTTATTGATAACGCTGAACAGTTACAAGCATTGGTCTCTTCAACGCCTCCATTATCGGTGCCAACAACTCCAACTCTACAATCGATGCAAATGCAAATGCAAAATGCTGCTGCTACTGCTGCTGGCTCACAATTGCATCAACAACCAGTTGATCCTGGCAGTCGCAGCCTACAATCATTGATACAGGGTACCAGTACAATTGTTGGCAGTAATCAGCAATTATCAACTGTCGCTAGTACATCCGCAGCTGCGGCTGCACAAAATTCTGGTCAAGTGATGAACACAACACAATTACAAATGCAAAATCAGCATTTGGTACAACAACAGCAACAACAACAAACACAACAACAACTACAACAACAGCTGCAACAGCAACAACAAACGACACAACAACAACAAGTACAACAACAGCAACAGCAACAACAAGTACAACAAGCCCAACAGGTGCAACAACAGCAACAGGCAGCTGCAGCAGCAGCAGCGGCAGCAGCAGCACAAATGCCAACTGCAGCCGATATAGGACTAATGTTGAGCTTCTTAAATACGACCGATGTCAACCAATTAGCGAACTTGGATCTTAACAAGCTGGCCATGTATTTGGTTAGTATGAACAATGTAATGATCGCCAATTTTTTTTCTTAAAATTTTAATATTACAACACACATATATATTCCATAAATCTTTAAATTGAAACAGCAATGCATAATACTACATTTTCATTTAAATCTTTTTCTGTTCGCCTAAGGTTTTTTTCTTTCATTTTGTTATTATATATCCATCTGTTTGCTTCCTATATCATTTTCCCACGCTTATCAACCTAAAAAAAAGCAAACATTAATGCCTTATCTACTACTTTCCATATAAAACTGAAACTCATTCGAAATTTTCTATAGTAGTTATAAGGATCGGAGATTCCTCTGAGGATAATTTTTGTTTTTTTTTTTTGCTTTGTGCATGACTAATATGAGAAAAGTTTTTTAATTACAGAAAAATTTTAATTTAATTAAATTATGATGTGAAACATTTTGGCCAAATTTTAAAAAGATTAAAAAATTATTTTAAAAATACTACTAATTTAGTTAGTTATTAAAAGTTAATAAAACTTTAAATCGTTATTTAATTAATAATAACAACAAAACTAACAAAGCCTTGACATTATTCTAAAAAAATCGTCAAAGCATTTTTATTTTATTTTTTTTTTAATGAAAATGCTCTCATATTATAATACCATAAAACTAACATAAAAACTACTATGGTTATGGGTATCTTTAAAAATAATATACTTAAATATATAAAATATATATAAAATCACTTATGAAAAAAAATATGCATATAGTCAAAACCAGTTTCTTAGAGTCTTTTGTCAACAAAAGAATAAAGACCCTAAGATGTTACGGTTTTACTGATCAAGAATTATATTGAACGTAATTTTAATAAAATAAGGAAATGTATAAAACTATATGTATATATGTATAAATTTTATAACATAACTTTAAAAAAGTTTACATTTTTATTATAAATGCCTATATTCAGCTCAAGCGAATTTATTATAACAGAAGTTTTGACTAAATATCCTATATATTTACTTATAGTATGTTTCGACATAACGAATATATTAATTAAGAGTAAAATATTATGAGATATTTGGAAAGTGTTAGTTATTACAATTACTGAATGACAATTTAAATTATTTGTAAAATTTTCAAAGTGGGATGACCTGACCCTCTTCTGTTTTTCTTTTTAAATCTCTTAGCACTTTTTTTCATACTTCTCTGTTTATATTCCAATAGAATTCAGGGTCTATCATTTTCGTTAATGTTTTGTTTTTGAAGAGTTTACTTAGACCCCTGCATCTTCAGGAACACAGTAAGCACTGACCTTGTTGTTGCACTTATTATATCATTTAATTTTCAAAAATAGTCTCATATTAATTTGTAGTCAAGCCCTCGTACAAGATGATCTATCTTTTTTAACACTGGAAAGAATTAAATATATTTTTGAATAGCTTCTGCAAGTATGATTAATTGCTGAAACATTTTCGATCCGTTAGCTGTCAGTATATCATAAGGTATAAATGAAACTTTTTCTTCATGGTGATAACCGGTAACCGACTTATTAAACTCATTGCCTATATATCAACAAAAAAATGGAATTGATATTTGGAATAAAATTGAATGTTATAAAATTCAAAAAATAAAGAAGGAAAAATATAGTAATATTCTAGTAACTCTTTCAAAAATATCACTACATCTCTCTAATTACATATATATATTTTGCACCCTTGTGTTATAATATCCTTCATTTTTAACTAACAATTGTTCGTCATATGCATTTCTTGTTTCCTTTACTTTATTTAGATTAATTCTTTTTGTCTAAAATATATGTTATAAATTATTAAAGAATAAAATGTGTCACCATAATTTTTACACATAACACATATATATATATATATATTTATATATTTATATCGTTATACAATATATGTATTGTATGGTTGTAGAAGGGTCATAATTGTTATAGGATTAAGAACCCTGTTTAGCAGATATTAAAGGCAAACACAGATGTGTGCCTTACTGTTTACTTTAGGAAATTCAAAGAAGTTATAAATTGTATATTTTTTTTCTTATATCCATTCTTATTCACCCCTACTTTATCAAAATTTTGAAATTTTTGTCATTATACACTCTACAATTTCAAAATGTATTGACGAAGTTGAAATAAAACAAACGAAATATAATTTATGCAAAAATATTTTTACTTGTATCAATTATTCAACGGATGAGCATATGAAATGAAGAGAATATCAGCCTCTAAATGAGGTGGACTCGATAACAACCAACCAACCACTTTGTGATAAAGTGAAGTAAATAGCAATTATATATAGTTAAACGAATCTTTGGTGATACTAAAACCTGAGCAAGTAACTATTCGCAATAATTATTTGAGGGAAAAATCAGTATAAAACGTATTTGTATATGCACAACGACGGTTAAATTAGAATAGGGTTGGAAATACTAATGTCGATCCTCTTTTGCAAAGATGTATTGTTGATGTGTGATGGTGGGGTGATTATTACCAGTGGTTTTCATTGTGCAAAAATTAAATATTTCACATTATAAAGCGCAATTCATGCGCATTTGTATATCTGTTATGTTATGATGGTAATATGATACAATTTTTACTAAAATATTTTGTATTTCAATAAAGTTTCTTTTCGTTTTTCAATAAATAATAAAATACGAAAAATATTTATGGTGTTACCTACCAACATAGTAGCAAACATTTTCAAGTCGACGATTAAAATGTTTGAATTGAAGTATATTTGAGTTAAAGTTTACATACAGAGAGTATTGTATTAACTTTATTAAAAGCATAACTTTTAACTATTACTTAATAAGTTTGTATTATAAAAAATTAAACAATTTTTTAAATAAATTCAAATTTATTCAGCAATATAGCCTCCCTTAATTTATTCCAACGCTTCTCTTACATTTCAATGGGTCTTTTTGTAGAAAGGTTAATTTTTAAACTGAAAATAGACTTCAGTTTGAATAAATAATACTAACTCTTTTTTTTAAGTGTATTTTTTTTTTTAATTCTCCAAACGGCCGCTAACAACTAGAACCGATGAATATATTGGATTTTGTGATTTTGTACTAATGATTGACTTGTGATAAGGAGCTTTTCTTCAGTAAAAAATCACTTGTCTTTTTTTAGAATTTTTTTCAAGCACACACCAATAATGCCATATAAAATTAGCTGTCGTTTCCTTGTTCATAGATCATAGAAATCATAGATTTAAATTTGACCAGCTGGTTTTGGTCACATTGGGGCGAGTTTCAACACTTGGTTTTCACTTAATTGAATGCCAATACGAAACTGGAGTGTGGTGATAGATAAGTGTTTTATATATTGTCACATCCCGCATTACAAAATTGTGCTGAAGCCATTCTGCACAACGTTTCGAAGTACTATATGCTTTAATATATTTTTAAAAACAATTTGTTAATTAACTCCTTTTGCAAATGCGAGATAATTTTTTTGAATTTAACCTTTAGCACAATTCATAAAATAAAAAACACAATTCCAAACATGTATGACATATAAAAATAGTGCTGTAATAAAGCGCAGGAGTGCTTTAGTGAATTACTATTTTTCAAAACATTGTATATAAGTTGTTTCCTTAATTTATAGGTGTTAAAAATAATTAATAAATTTCTAGCCGTTTAAAATGCAACATTTTAATTTGATGCAATACTTTAGTTTCATCAATAGATGTGTAATGTGTTAGAAATAAAGTTCATTAATAATATTTTAAACTGTTGTAAGTTAAAAAAAAACTTAATTTGTAGTGAAATAATACTTTTGACAAAAAGAACAATGTTAAGATCAGTCCGCTAATCTTATCGTCTCAAATATTGCGGTTAAGATATTTCAAAGATTGTGTGTGTATGCAGAATCATTATGTTATTAAACTAAATTGACTTTATGTACATCTTTGGATATCCACATAATATATATATCAATAAAAAATACAATATCAACAGATGTTGATTAAACAAATTTTCGTAAAAGTTTAATCTTCTAATTACCATCGCCCTAAATAATCAAATATTCCTCCTTTGCGACTTGAAGTCCATCTGAGAAGACACTGCTATAGATCTGTTAACTTTTTCCAATACTATTATCATGTATGAACGATTTTGTTTACTTAACAAATATATCGATTACATTTTTACTATAACAAATTTGAGGATGAAAAAAGTGTGTTATATACTATATTATGTTGAAGCTATTTGAGCCAGTTCACTTGAGCACTTTTACTCTTTCTTAACTCGAGGTATTTTCAAAACCCCTCTTTACGCCTTAACTGGATTAATGTTTATCACTTCATCAGACTAAGCAATAATTGACCTCAGATCTGCATACCTCCCCGTGAAGCCTGTAACCATTCTGAGATTTGATAACGCGGTATTGGTAAATCTGTCAGTTTTTGCAAATACATACTATATTGTGTTTATTTAATTTATTAAATTACACATGTGTTATCACATAAAAAATACTTATTAGCAGATTTGTCATAAAAAATGTATGATTCAGTTAAATAAGTATTGAGTATTCTATATAAGCTAGAGTACCATCCATTTAAAAATTAAAGTAATTAATAAAAGTGATACCTTTGCTCATGTGTATGCATGAATTTATTAAATCTTTACCAATTTTTATAAAAGACCTTGCTCAACGTCTAAATGGATTATTTGTCAAAACTTTGCTGATAAAAAAATCCCAAATTTATTTTATCGTATAACATGTTTTTTACGAAAGGTAAAGAAATTCTAAAAAGTAAATTTAATTTTAAAAGTGTTGCCCATTGAGCTCTTCGCAATCGAATAATTTGTAATGCCTGAATCAAAAGTCACCTTCTGACATTAAGAACTTTTGTTAAGAGTATATGTCCTGTGTAAAGAAAATAAGTTCTTTCAAATTATGTTAAAAAATAAATTTGATTTTAAAAATATAGTCTATTTATATGGGCTCTCTATAATCGAGTAATTTGTTATGCCTGAGTGAAGAAAAGGATTCTAACTTAACCAGTTCAGTCACTTTCTGGGAAC